GAATGGTAAAGGGGGAATAAATGGTGATGGAAGGAGACTTGACTTGGGGTAGTGAACACACAATACAATATACAGATGATGTATTATAGAATTGTACACCTGAAACCTATATAATTTTAATAGCCAATGTCACCCCAATAAATTCAATAAAAATGAAAAATTAAAATTAAATTTTAAAAAAAAGAAAATGTGCCTTTTACCTTCCCAAATATAGGGCACAGACAGGGTCCTGGACCCAGAGATGTTCAGGGCAAGATGACCACATGAATCTCCTACCTTATATAGAAGCAAATTCCCTTGCAATGTTCCAGAAATAAATCTACCACCAGAAGATCTAAAGGGGACCAAAGTTTTCCTGCCCCAAAATATGCTTTTTGGGATACTGATTTTTAAGCTTGTTATTAAGAAACAAAAGACTCCGAAAGAAACGTCAACCCTCCCTCTTTAGCTGCCTAAAAGAATTCAGACAGAAAAGTCTGCTTAAAGGAAGGGGCCGTCACCTTCGCATCATAATATAAACTCCACGTGGCCGACAGGGAGGAATCCAGCAGAGCTGTTTGTCAGACTCCCCTTTGGGTCCCACTGCTTCTGGGTGGCTGGCAAGAATTTGTTTACTCCGTGTTTGTTCTTTCCTACCCACCTGCAAATTATCTGCTTTCCCTTTGAAATCCCAGACTCCTGTCTCCTCCTTTGTCCAAAATGTCACATAAACCGCAACTGTCCAATGCATCTTCAAGTCTCATATCCTTACGGCACCCCCACAGGCACATCCCTAATAAATGTAGAACATTCTCTCCTGCTAAATATCCCTCATGTTAATTTGAGTATCAGCCCATCCAGAAGAACTCAGAGAGGTGGGAGGCAAATTGTTCGTTTGACCCCCACCCTCTCGTAGCACCTCCTGCACCAGGAGCCCCAGGTAAGCATTGAAAAGGACACTGCCTCTCTGCCTTTCCCGCTCACAGCAACACCATTATCACTGACTTTCCTAGAAGATAAGGAACTCTGCCACCCCGTTACTCACTGGGAGAACCAGGGCAGTTGGTACAACCGCTGGTGATGAGGAGAGGCTCCAACACATGTCAGATTCTTACCAAACCGCTCCGGTTTCACAGCCCACGTCTCTGCCTCCCCACGAACCTGGCGCGCTCCTCCCAGCTTCCAGTCCCGCCCGTCCCGTCGAGTAACTGCCTGAGCCCGTCGGCGGGCGTGGGCGGCCGCTCAGGCTGCCTCCCAGAGCACTCACCCTCATCTGAGTCAGTTGCCTTTTCATGGAAATACTATTCAACGATCATTTTCATAAAACTCTGCTGGCGCAGTTTTGTTTCTCTTGACACGGGCCCAAGTGTTTTTCTCTCCTGATTGATTTTTGGTTGAAACTCAACGTGTCCTTTTGGGTTGTTTATTTTTTAATATATTTCCATTTTTACTGGAGGGGAAACATTGGCATCGATGTGACCCAGCTGCGTTAAATCAGCCACAGGACCTGCACGTAGACATCCCAGACGAGGGGAAACGCCGCCTGCGGGAGCCCTGGGCTGCTCCCTTGCCTACCGGGGGTGCAGGGGACACTGTCCCTCTCATGGCAACGTGTGTTTGCACAGGCCATCACATCCACTACACACTAATTCTCAGAAGCTCCCTGTCACCGTCTCTCCAGGGGAAAGCCTGTGGCCAGTCACTCTGCGCGTGTATGGAGCCCTCTGAGGGACACACTGGGGCACTCAACTGCCTGTTGCTTTGTCGCTATCGGTTTCCAGGCCACACTCTACACAATGGTCAGAACACAATGCCCGGGCATGACATCCTGAGTTCACTTGGATGTCCTTCCATCCCTTCTGAGATCCTGTCCTAGCATCTGTCACCTCTTCTCTGAAACAGAACAGTTTCTTTTTTTTTTCCTTTTTAAATATATTTTTATTGATTTTTAGAAAGAGAGGAAGGGAGAGGGAGACGGAGAGAGAAACATCAACACTGATTGGCTGCCTCCTGCAATCTGGACATGTGCCCTGACTGGGAATCGAACCTGTGACCTCTTGGTGCATGGGTTGGGCTCAACCGCTGAGCCACACCGGCTGGGCTGAAACTGAACCTTTTCAAAGGTGAGCACTGGCATTGAGTATGGAAGCTGTGCATTCCCAAGGAGGCTAGCCCTACTTCTTGCAAGATGAAAGTCACTTTTTATGTGCAGATTTACCTAAATGTAGGTATGCGTACCTGTGTGTAATGTAAAAATACCTAAAGAGATATGCACTATACCTGTGGTATTAAATTTTCATGGGGAAGAGACATAATCAGGAAGGAGCTGTCTGAAAAGACTCCTTAGAGGGTTGGTCATGAAAAGGGGTTTAAAAAGCACTAATTTAATGACTGCATCAGAAAATATCATTACTTCTTGTTGTGTTTGGCACCAATGTCTCAGTGATAGATCTATACTCAGAAGACTGAGTTTATCCCAATCTCTTTAGGATAGTCCCACAATTATTTATATAAGCCGGGAGTTGAAAGAGTTACAATACACTGACAACTCTTTACAATTCACATACACGATACGACTTGTTATAAAAGCCAATAGGAGTTGCCCTAGCCAGTTTGGCTCAGTGGTTAGAGTGTCAGCCCTTGGACTGAAGGGTCACCGGTTCGATTGCGGCCAAGGGCACATACCTCAGTTGCAGGCTCCATCCCTGGTCCCTATCAGGGCACGTGCAGAAGGCAACCGATCGATGCGTCTCTCTCACATCGCTGTTTCTCTCTTTCCCCGCCCCCCCCTCCACTCTCTTTGAAAAGCAATGGAAAAAATATCCTCGGGTGAGGATTTTAAAAAATAAATAAAATAAAAGCCAATAGGTGTCAAGCACAAAAAACAAAACCAAAAACCGAAAAATAAAAAAAGGAAAGAAATAAAGACTGATACTCCGACGCAGATGAAGCAGATGACGGCACTTCTTCGCAAACAGCTGGTTTGCAAATGTCTACGAAGGAAAGCGCTCTCAGGACATCTTTTCATTCCACAGTAAGTATCCAAGCTGCGAACCATCCTTGCCTTGCATGAGTCTATTTCAAATCTTGCTTATTCCAAAAAGGAGGCCTGCATTTAACTTTCTCAAATAAATGATATGCAACTCTCATTTTCACTTGCTCGGAGCAAAGACTAAAATATAGTGTTTAACCTTGCCTCCTTTGCCAGTGCAAACACAACTCCTTCTGAGCCTCATCTCCACTCCTTTAACCTGGGCTGAGCCCAAATTTATTCCCACTCTTTATAGGGGGGGAGCCCATGCTCCCAACACCGCCACCATGACGCCGCTGGACCTTCTCCTGACCTGTCCTGGCCATGCCCTTGCACGGTAAAGAAATGGAATCATTTTACTCATAATCTCAGACGTTACGTACACCAGCATCAGAGACTATAGACATAACTTTGTGACAACTTCAAAGGGTGAATTCGCAGAGCAGGGACAGTAAGTGGAGTGTGTTTTCTGTCCTCAAAATCCCAGGCTAGGGCAGACGTATGAATAATTTTCAAAAATCAGGAAGTCTGCGGAAATCCCCACTGTTTTATAAAGATTGCATGGCGCTCATCGAATCTCCTAAGGCCTCTGTCTCCCTCCCCTCCGCGGAGGTCCCTGGACCTGACTCCTCGTGGCCAGGGCCAAAGAACGCAGGCACCTGCCTCCAGCAAATCCACGCTGCTTCCCCCTCATTCCCAGACACAAATTTCCATGAAAACCAGACACAGGAGAGAAAGTGAGGGCAGGCCTTTCCAAAATCGCTGCAGATCGGCAGCCTGGTTTCATTAGATCCGCGGGCTTGTTTCTTTTAGCCCCTGCCTGCGCACTGCAGGTGGAACTGCCCCACGGTGACATTTCCAACCCCTGCAGGTAAGGAAGGAAGACCAGGCAGGAGGGAGA